ATATCTAATGGCCCTATGATGTAGAGCATTGACCGTAGACACCTCGTAATTGCCCCATATACAAGCACCATAGTTCAATACAGGCCGTACCATAGTATCATACAACTTTGTATATGTATTGTAATGCATACCACCAATACTTTTAAATTTAGATATAAGCAAGCCCAACGCCCTACTTGCTGACGTAGCTGCTGCACGTGCCATGGGGGTATAATCTAGATGCACTGTTAGCAGTAAACCTTGATAATTATAACAACTCACAAATTCTAAACTATTGTTGCCAACATTAAAAACAGACTGCGTCTGTTTATCAGACGTATTTCTAAAATGTACAACTTGAGACTTTTCAGGATTTATTTCTAGCTTGTTTTCACAGCACCAATTGTGAAGTACATCTAAAAGTAGATTAAGATTATCTTCATTTTCAGCCAGTATTGCAATGTCGTCTGCATAAAAATTATCCTAATGATGCAATATTCATATCATCAACCTTTACACCAAGATTCAAATTGTTCAGTGTAGATAACAAATCATTAAAAAAGATATTAAACAAAACTGGGGATAATAAACAACCTTGTTTCAATCCTTTATTGACATTAAACTACGATATTAAGAAACCATTCACTCTGACACAACACTTCACATCTTTATACAAAGATTGTAGAGATTCAAACATTTTACCACCCATACCACACTCTGGGATTCTATTCCATAGGATATTACGATTTATGCAGTCATATGCTTTCTTGAAGTCTACGGAGGCAACATAAGAGGACAACTTTTTGGATTTTCTAGTTTCTTTAATTGATGTCAGGGACGATACATGGTCTACTGTTGATCTATTCCTCCTGAAACCATTTTAAGCGTCGTTGAAAATATTGTTAGATTCTGTCCAAACTTGTAGCCTCCGATTAATAACACTGGAGTACAGTTTGTATATTGTAGTTGTCAAGGTGAGTGATTCCTCTATAAGCCAAAGGATTTCTCGGGTCCAATGATGAGCATTTTGGTATTAGATTAATGATACCATGTGATCATATTTTTTGAATTTTTCCGGTATTAAAACCCAAGTTAAAACACGATGTAGAGTGAGTGAGTGAGTGAGTGAGTGAGTGAGTTGGGTTTAACGCCGCTTTTAACAGTATTCCAGTCATATCACGGCGTGTCAGCTTAATGTGGGAGGAAAGCCCGAAGTGATGCAGTCTCAGACGTTTACCACTTCGGTGAAACCCACGAGCACGGGTATGGTGCTGACAAACCTAGAAACATAATCGGGGCGAACCGGGATTCGAACCCACAATCATAGGTTTCTGGCGTGCCCAAGGGACGCAACTCTGCACAGCGAATCGCGGCGCCTTAGACGACTGGGCCACCCGTGCCCCCCACGATGTAGAACTTTGATTACAGTCTCTGATTTTAGAACTTCAATTGGAATTTCACCAACACCCACAGCTTTACCTGTATTTGCTTTAACAACGGCAGTCCACATTTCATACAGGATAATAGCGTCGCTGAATAAGACATGATTATTATTGTTAAGTATATTCGTACAGATGGGTTCATTTTCACACTCACCATTTAAAAGTACATTAAAGTCGGATTTCCATCTTTCCAAAACAATATATCTATCTTTGATGACATGTCCATCGTCAGTGACCACTTCCATTGGAATCTGTTTACGTCTATCAGCACCCACGCCGACACGCCCTATCTGCCGCCATAACTCATTGTCGTCGGCTGTACACAACTCATCTAGACTGCCTATAGTTCTCTTAACATGGTCTCTCTTGGCTTGTTGTACACACTTGTCAAACGTTTTACGCTCAGTCACATATATGTGTTTAAAATATGGTTTTTGAGATCTGCTTTTACATTTACAACATTTCCTTTCAGCTTCACACATATCTGCCCATAGCTCGGACAATCCGTCCGTCCACCATGGCTTACGAGTTCTGCGACGCTTATTTGATTTCCAATTTTCGGAGAATTATTTTATAGTTCAGCTTACTCTGCATTTCTTCTTTGACAATGTCGATCAGTTAAGTTGACGCTGCGTCCAAGTCCCCCTGCGCATGACTTGAGTTTTTCAGCTTGGTTATGACGTCGGTTAGTGCTTGGGAACTTATCTCGTCATACAAAAAGTCACGTGGTACATCAGACGTTTCAAACTTCACATGGCGAATCGGTTCCTCGAACGGCGCTGTCTGTAGTTCAATCATATCATTTGAGATTTCGACGAATCATGATCATTTCAATAAGGAATGATCTAGTTTTGTAATTAGATGACCGTCGACTCTTCCAATAATAGCCGCTTCATTAGCTGGTACATTCTCCCTCATTACTTCGAAGTCTTGAAATTGTCCAATATTTTCATAAGTCACGATGCTGTGGCATAAACTGCACGTGCATGTTAGCTGTATAAATGCGTTCGTCTGCAGGGTATAACAACACGTGATGAAAGCACACAAAAGAAATGCCACGACTGAGAGGGAGAGAGAGAGAGAGAGAGAGAGAGAGAGAGAGAGAGAGAGAGAGAGGGAGAGAGAGAGAGAGAGAGAGAGAGAGAGAGAGAGAGAGCCATCGGTATGGCCGAAATGGGGGCAACACAGGTCCAAATTGCCAGAAGGTTTGGTTGTACACCATTGACAGTAGCCAGGCTGGTTCAACGGTACAGGCAGACAGGGAGGACACAGGACAGGCCTAGAACCGGACGACCCCGAGTGACAACACCACTGGAAGACGGTCAGGTACGGCTATTCACCTGCGAAACAGATTCGTAACGGCGACGGCGACGGCAGCAACAGCGTTGGGACATCCCATTAGCCAACGTACAGTACTACGACGACTTCGTGCTGCTAGAATCCGAGCGTATCGTCCTTTCCGAGGAATGATACTGACTGCTCAACATCGACGCCTGAGACTGCGATGGGCGTGGCAGGTTCGACGCTGGCAAGTGAGAAATTGGCGTCGCGTGCTGTTTACTGATGGAAGTCGGTTTAACTTGTTTCGAAATGACGGCAGAGAACGAGTTTGTCGACGCAGAGGGGAACGTTTGGCTCCGGCGTGTTTTCGAGAGGTCCATCCATTCGGCGGGGGAGGTGTCATAGTGTGGGGCGGTATTTGTGGAGATCAGAAGACTGATTTGGTAATTATACAGGGAAATCTGAACGCTTTGCAGTACAGAGACCAAGTGTTGCAGCCAGTTGTGCTTCCGTTCTTACAAAACCAACAGCAGGGGACATTGTTTCAACACGACAATGCCAGGCCCGATACTGTAAGACTGACCCGGAACTTTCTAAACCAGCAGAACGTTGACGTTTTGCCCTGGCCTGCCCACTCACCCGATATGAATCCTATTGAACATCTGTGGGACCATCTTGAAAGACAGATTAGAGCACGCCATCAGCCTCCCGTCAACAGACAAGAATTGCAGCAGGCCCTGAGAGACGCGTGGCAACGGATTCCAGTCCACGTCATCAGAAGACTGACGTCATCGATGAGGCGGCGTATCACAGCATGCATTGAGGCAGCAGGACGTCATACACGCTATTGAAGGCAACTGTGTCGACAATGAACTTGTAGTGTGACATTTCAGACAACTTTTGAAAATGAAATTTCTTACCCGACCATTGTTTACCATGAGCTTACATTACCTGTGATTGCACAATTTTATTCAAACTGTGGTTGATCAATCATTTGTTACCCCTCCCTAGATTATTTTATAATTCACAACAAAACCTCTTTTGTTATTTTTTTATCGATCATGAAACTCGACCTATACTTTCTTTTGCCGCCCAGTTTATGTGTAGTACTGGTTGATATGGTTCCTTCCTTTTAGGATGCAACATCTACTGTCAATTAGAAAGTCTATCAAGCGACGTCCAAGCCCATTCACTAAGAAATCTTTAACGTCTCTTCCTTGTTAGTTAGCTATTTCTTCAATATAATCCGTGAATTTACCTATTGCTTGAAATTCTAAAATTTGTGACAATAAAATAGCATAAAAATCAGCGGCACACACATTTCTTGTAGAATGTTTAGGTGGTAAATAACAAACACACACAAAATATTTCTCACCACATCCATACTTATCTAACAATTGTAGCCATAAAATACCTTCATGATTGTTATCAACGATACAAACATCAAAATGACATAAATTCAACACCACACGATCCATGTTTTGCTCGTACATGAATTGACGTTCGATTATTGCCGTAAAAAGTGTCATTGTCCACAGAAAGTCTCGCATTATTACACAGATGAGTTTCGGCCACGCCCACTGTGTCGAGATCATAATGACGTAATATTTCACTGCGGATTATATGATTGTCAGATTCACTTACACACGACCATCAAGCTACATTCCAAAATCCGCATATTACCGCTCTTGTGACCCGCCCCCTTCTATGTGTGTTGTATGCGTCCCCCTCTCTCTCTTCGTTTCGTCGGTCCATCCACCGCGGTTGTCTGTCTTCCTGTTCCCAGTCTGCGTCATCATCACGTGCGTTAGAGTCAACATCGTTGTCAAATTCATGTCGATTGCGTTGTCGATAGTTGTCGCTGTCCTCACGTGTAGCACGTACAGCATGGAGACGCACACCTCTGACACTCACTTTGTCTTTGCCGATGACATTGGCGATTGTTTTTAAATTAGCCTCAAACAAACGCTGATTGCGTTTTTTGTCAATTAAAATGTTATAGTTTTGCCTTCGTCCTGATCGCTCATCTCACACAGTTGTCTGAGGGTCATCACAACACGTTGGCAGCTCTCCATTAGTCTCGCCTTCTCTCGAATACGCTGGAAGAGCTCACGTGACCAACGGGGGTTTCCCCATGACACAATTATGACTCAAGGCTTCTTTACACTGTCACGCTCGTGAAATAACAACTGTGTAGTAATTTGACAAGAACTATATTGAATGATTAATAATAATATTTTCACAGATCAGCTACGATTAATTATTTCGTAACGGGATGTAAGCGGGTCAGGTTCACGCTATAAATAGACCGGAAAAACATTTATATAAAAATGTATGTGAGAAGGACGCGAGATCATTGACAGAACGGCAGCTGGCGATAAACATGGCCAAAGACGAACATGCAGTCACCGAACAACACAAAACAACTCAAGTAGGTATCTTTGCTATCTACAGAACAAGTATCGCCATTGTAGGCTAATGCAGTTCTCGATATAGGACATATGTATCACAAGTACTGTTTTGTTACGTGTTCACTGACACGGTGTTTATTAACACTCGTCCATTGTTATCTTGTTTACTTGGCTGGAATGTATCATTTTCACTCATTTACTGAGTACAAGTGCTTTACCTACACACATATACATGTTATTTTTATCTACTTTTATTGTGTTGTTTTCAGATTTATTCGCACAAAATGAACACGGGAAGGAGAAAATGTACATTTTCAAACACAGGTCGAAACATGGATCTTGATGTGGACTTTGGTAGCCTCAGCCTCAATGAGAGTGGCATGGACACGTGTGAATCTGGGGTAGAGGTGGGCAGCGTGGGTCAAGTGGTCAACACATGTGTACGACTTGACAGTGTCAATACAAACACCTGCCCCAGGTTTGTTTCTACAGATGAAGGATATGAAAGCAAGTCAATATCTTTCACAGACAGAATGTCCATTCAGGAGACTGAGAACAACAGACTTGTGACATCCATGAGATCGGTTGATGTCTTTCAGGTGTATCATCAAGATAAAGATGGCGACACGGATCTACATACTGGAATCATTCAAGGACATATATCTCTGGTGTTGTTGTTTATATCGGCGGCGCCGAACTATGAGTGGTTGAACATTACAAATTTGCTCAAACAGACGCCCCTCCATCTCGCTGTTATTACTCGTCAGGTGAATATAGTCCGGCGACTGATGACGGCCGGAGCAAGGGTTGACGTTACAGATATCCATGGCAACACACCACTTCACATAGCATGTCGAGAGGGATACCAGGAGATCGTGGAATGTCTTCTGAGACCTGTTTATTATGAGGAGACACTTCTGAACCAGTATGAGATTCCATACCAAAGGATACCCCAGGACTTGGAGAATAGGAACTTTGATGGACACACATGTCTTCACCTGGCCGCCATGTCGACACATCTCAAAGTTCTTGAACTACTTCTGTCTAAGAAAGCTAGCATCAATGTGCGTGACGGCACCAGCGGAAGGACAGTTCTCCATTACGCTGCTGAAACCGGAAACAGAATTCTTCTTCACTTCCTGTTGTCACAGCGCCATCTTGACATTTGCTGCAGGACATATGGGGGTCTGACTCATCTTCGTCTTGCTGCAGGGAGGGGGTTCGGGGATGTCGTTTCCATCCTCCTCGCCAACGGTGCAGACGTCACAGACATAGACGGTTCAGATCAGTCAGACGAAGAAGTATTTGATGACTTTTGTATCAATGGACACGCAGTTGCTTTGTAACAATCAGGACAACAGAATGAATGGATGTGTAACGCTGACGTATCAGAAGACAAGCAAGCGATATTTTAATGTTACAATGATTAACATGTATATGTCTACCTGAACTTATTGTGATCCAGAACATGCAGGATACTGTGGTGTGTTTGTTTTCTTGTGATATAGAATGATATTGATATTGTGTGCGTACGTGCGTGCGGATGTTTGTTTGTTGTTCAACTCCTCACTCAGCTATCAAGAGAGTCACCGAGCCTGACCACCTGATCCAATTTTAACACGGAACTAGTAGCGTCCTCGTTTCAAAAGACAGTGGAATATGTTACTAGTATTGACCAGCGGACAATAGTTTATACCAAACAACGAGTCATTGTCTACTGGTATCAGTCCACTACCTCACCGACTGGTATTTGATGTAAACAAATTTGTCAAGGCACTACGTACAAGCCCTGTATATATAGATGGCTAGTATTAACATCACTTGTATGCTATTGCTAGCGATTTATTTTTGAATAATATCTTTTGTTTTATCATTATTGTTGTCCAAAAGACATTACTTGTATTGATCTGAAATATTACATTCGTACACTTATAACTTCTCAGTATGCATGTACAAAATGCATGTAATGGACGCCATTTGTTATACATGCAGTGTATCTTGACCTGTCAGTAGTGAGAGTAGCCTACGGCTGTATATGCTAGTCCCTACAACTGTGTCAAATTCACAAATGTTTCTTTACACAGACGGCATTTGACGGCATTCAATAAACGTTTACTGTTTTGTGAAGAGCTGTTTTTTTCTTATTTGTTTCTGACCCAGGTAACCTTGTTTGTTTGTTGTTTAACGCCGCACTCAGCAATATTCCAGCTATATGACGGCTGTCTGTAAATATGCGAGTCTGGACCAGACAATCCAGTGATTGACATCATGAGTATCGATCCACGCAGTTGGGATACGAAGCACGAAACGCACGTTTATGAATCACTATCAAACAGTGATGATTCAAGATGTCCGCGTAAAGGGGGCGTATCCTGCTTCAACCGTGCCACCTGTCACAAACACGTGCAAAGGCAAGTCACTTGTTCACCTGAAAAAAATAACATATGGTACATATTATAGGAAGATATGGTACAAATAAAATGGGGAATTGTATTGGACATTTTTGTCAATGATGTGTCAATTTTTTCAAAGCTTTACTGATGCCTTGAATGTTGCAACTTTGAGCAAACAACTTCTGAACAAGAGTCGTATGACGCGCTTTGAAATCTTCGTAAAAAAAACCCAGTCTAAATCAAACAGTTGATTCCATCACAAGCCAGAACAATTGTCTTTTTTTGCAATAATATGCCCTGAAGTACCGAGACGAGTAAATTCCAGTACATGGGTAAATGAATTTGATTTTTTTTTTTTAATTTAAGAAGCTAAATGGTCATATAATCGTTGAAGACTGAATAACCACCCACCCCTAAAAATACGAAAGCCTCATGGTGCCATTTTGGTAGCATTAATTGTTTTTTTATTCTCGTTGTTTCAATTATTTTCTCGAAATTTCAAGTTCTTTCTCGTTACTTTAAATAATTTCTCGTTATTTCAAGTTTCTCTAAAAAACTAAAAATGTATTATATTTTTCTCGTTGCTTCGAGCTTTTCCTCGTAATTTCGATTATTTTCTCGATATTTCAAGCCTATTTAAAAAACTCTAAATTTCGATTTTTTCTCGTTAGTTAAAACTTTCTACCGCACGGCTGCATTCATGAATGTTCAGGATAATGCGGCCCCACGACATAAACTTAAGTCTATGATTACATGTAATTAACAATTAAACCTTTAATGTAAACTGATGATAAGAGAAACCCTGGCCATGCTTGCAGCGACAAAATAATCATTTGTTTCTCGCCAGAAATAAACATGTCAGTGGGGTAACCTGTTACAGAATAGGTTTACCACGAAAACAAGTGACATCACGTAAATGTCAACTAAGCGATCGATAAACACACATGACGTCGCTTCTATCGCATGAAAGGAGAACCGAAACTTGCATGAGACTCTTGATCCCTCCAAAACGTTTCTTTATTCGTCATGCTTCAACCATTATGCTGACATCATGCCATTCTTGTTGCAGTTGATTCTAAACGAGGAAGTCATTGGCCATTTATTCTAGCCATGTAAAACTGACACAGCTAATGGCATTGTGCATAATTATAGAGAACTTATGTATGAACTTAACATGGTTTAAGTCGAAGAAATAACTCGAATCGGTTGATTCTAAGTCCGGAATCAACAGATTCGAGTGATTTCTCAATTAATTAAATTTATTTTGTCATTTGATCTAGAACATTCTATGACGTAATGTCCCAAAGGCTACTTTACAGAGAACATTCTATTATGTAATGCTCTCATCATACTGCATTAGTTATGTTTTCTGTGAGGAAACTCTCTAAACTACTATAACTCTAATACAAGAAGAAGTCAAAATTAACCGACAAAGATCCTTGAACTCATCAGGCAACAGTTACGAATGAACTTTGAGCTTTCATCGTAGGATTTTAAGACGCTTCGCACGTTCATACTCAACGCGAATGGTGAGAATTCATTGCTACGGTTTAAGGTATATGTTGTTCATAAATCATTAATCATAATATATTTCATAAGACCTATTAATTTATCACATGAATACATTCACGCTGTCCTGCTGTGTATAATGCTGGTAATTTTAGTAACTTACTAAGCATTGCATGGGGAATTGATGACGAAGATTCTAAAATATACACGACATCCATCAGTCTGACATCAGCCTGTACGGACTAATTTATTTGATTGATGAGATTGGGTATTTGTCAAACCATGTCTCTTTCAGTGGTAAAGACGTATTACTGTAGACATAATTCTCCATCTGAGCTGCAAGGTAGGCAGAGTTATCTTCCTTGAAATAACAGTATCTCAACATGTTATGTCTTTCTGTCCAAAATGTGTTACGACCTAACAGAAAAACTCGAGGGGCTGCATACTTATAATGATATGGCTTATCGAATACCGAACTATCGATAGGCAGTGATTTTACGTTGCGTTTTCAGTTGATGAATATATTTTAGCTTCCTTTATGAATTAGAAAAAGATACGGATCTACAAAACAGAAATACTAAACTCCCTGGCAAAAGAAGTATACGCTTGGAGATTGGATTTGACAAAACAAATACAAATGTTACAAACGTTACTTGGCTGAAAACTGTCGCCGAAACACTACAAACTGTAGGTCCAAAACACAACTATGATACCTTATCAAATACATCACTATCGAATAATTATTTCCTGTTTTATTTTAGCCACCATCAGACATGGAAGTATGCTTTCCTTGGCCCGATAGTTTATGTGTGATAGCACGAGTGTTGTGTTTGATCTTGTAGGACTGAGAGCAGTATATATAATCACTGGTTTTCTGGTTGAGACTAAGACTCGGTTGCAAGTACATCATTACCAAACACTAGTCGTCTTTCTTAGGTATTTCAAACACAAATCTACAGTTGATATTACATTACATTGAACAATCACAGTACAGTAAACTACGGTTATAACGAACTCGAATGGACTACTAATTTTAGTTCGTTATAACCGTAGTTCGTTATAAGTACATATAGAGCATGACTACAGCAAGTAGTCGGGACCCAAAATTAAGTACGTTATATCCGTCAGTTCGTTATAAGCGTGTTCGTTATAACCGTAGTTTACTGTATATAAACCTTAGAGCTATGTATTTGTAGTGAAGACATTGAAAAAGAGGTGTCAGTTTAATTCTATTTTGTACTTGTTACTAAATACGTCAAGGTAAATTTAAAATGTTATTTATTTATATCTTTTTAAAGAAACATTGCATCAGCATCATATTTAAATCAAATAGGTTTGCGCGTGTATCTATATTTAGAATCGAGAATTACCAAGCAATGCCTGCCTTAATGTTGTTACCACGTGCATTGCTTATGTAAGTTTTGTCTGGGGTTTTCCAACTCATGGAGACAATTCATACCTCGAGCCACGAGACATTCGCTCTCTGCGGAAGGTGATCGACGGTGTGTTCGTGTGAAGAGACGACTTGTTCCGTTCCACGCAGGAGAATCTGTCTTCTCTCTTGTCCTTGGACATACCGGTAAACATGTTGTCGATGTTATAGTGCCATTACATGTGCATGTGTTTACAATGGCCATGCTGCCTTGGGCTGAATACTAGCCTGTAATTGCTGAAGGATAGTCCCTCAAAATTAAAGGTTTATAGAAAAGATTTATGATACTATTGACTAAATCATACAACGTCTGATATCTGATATAAAGACACAGACCTGTACCAATGTCTATGTATGTGTTAGGTTACGCATAGGATATTAAACACGATGGCAATAAATCATTTAAACCGGATATCATAGTAGTAGTAACTAGCCTATATAACTGTCGTGATGTTATAGATTTTACTATATATTGATCTCAAGTGTTTTGCACACAGATGTAATAACGTAACCAGAATTAAGTATTCCGAGTTTATTAAAAGTAATGTGAAATTGTGAATCCTAATCAATATCAACTGAGAAGCAAAACAAACAATGACTCTCAGTTGACTACTATTAAAATATCTATAAAATTAATATAAAATTTGATTTAAAGCATTGAAAATTTATAAACAACAACAGCATAATACACAACTACTGATGGGTATCTTAGACATTATGTCTTTAAAAATCAATAAATTTGCTTTTTCGGCACAAATTTATAACATTTCAAACATGGTAGGGATCATATGGTTGCTAATTTATTTTTTACCCCAGTCTTCATTAAACTACATTTATTTTTACACAAAATTCCCCAGCCACAGTTTTACAAATTATTGCAGGAAGGAGTGATGGCAAAATAGACAATAAAATTTAACAACATTTTTGTTAATTTTTAATAAGATTAAAAACAAACTCGGTATACTATTTTGTGGCCCTCAGATTGCATATTAAGCGCCAACCCTGTGCAACAGGCAATAGTCCCCATAATCGCAGTGTTGACGCATTGATGTCCGCGCATGGAGGAGATGCCATGTTATCAAATGAAATAAAATTACATAAATGTTCGGACTTTGTGTTTGACGACATAAGGTGAGCGGTAGCTACTCCAACTTTGTTGACGACTGTATTGCTTATACGTATATACATGTTTGTCCCGATTTGCATTTTCCCGAAAACGGTAGAGGGAAATAACTGAGTTTCGTAAAATCACTACATTGGACAACACATGAATAAAACATAATTGCGGGAAAATACATAATGCATTCTTGATTAGACATATTTTGTCATGACTGCGACGTTAAAAAGCACCTAAAACAACCGACAACTCTCCCGCTCATTATGACTGTGTGACTATGGTTTCATGAACGGGGTGTTCTCACATCGCCCAACTCTATTGTTCTAATTTTAAAATCACCCAACTATGCTAATCCCTTATACAATAGGATCAAGTCTTTGAAAGGCATTTAGGAGTGATACATATAAGGAACAGAATTTATAGATGTCAACTTCTTTATTATGAGGATCAAGACGTTTCGGAGTATATTCTTACTCCTTCATCAGGTGAATTCTGATAAAGGAGTAAGCATTTACTCCGAAATGTCGTGTTCCTCATAATAAAGAAGTTGACATCCATTAATTCTATTCCTTAATAGGATTAAGGTTATTGTCTCTTGCAAAACGTATACCGACTGTAGCTTTCAATGTATAAACTTGTGAATGACAAAAGTAACATTTTCACATCTCGTTTTTATTTCTGATATTTTAAGACATTTACTTCTGACATTTTAGCTCATGAACACGTGAGCAAGTGTAGATTGTTTGAATTACGGTTACATTAAACCTGCGAAACATGTTGTCCTGTTTAGATAAGTATAGCAATTGGGTGTTTCTGCAATTGTTAACATAATTCATCCAACATACCTTGCGTATGCTTATATACAGTAACACGTTAAGTCCGTTCAGTGCAGTCAATGCGTTGTGGTGATAAATTGCCTTAAACAGCGATGCAAAACAAAACAACGAAAACAACAACAAATCCAGTAACAATCAAAACCATGAAATGGCCTGTAAAATAGCAGATCTGTGCTGAAAATAATGACCCTCCCCTAATGCTTGTCATAATTTATGATGATCTTCCCCATGTCATTTTTTCACGACTCTCCCCGAAAAGTCAAAATGCAAAAATACTTTTTATTTAATTATAAAATGTCATCTTTTGTCATGACCCTCCCCAAATATGTGCATTATTTTTTATAACCCTATTATCCCATTTAGGTTGTAGTAGCAATTATTTTAATGGTCATCATGACCAACGTGCAATTCAAGCTCGCCGTAAAAGGAGCCTATGCTTGTCGTAAAAGGCGACTAACGGGATCGGGTGGTCAGGCTCGTTGACTTGGTTGATGCATGTCATCATATCCCAATTGCGTGGATCGATGCTCTTGATGTCAATCACTGGATTGTCTGGTCCAGACACGATTATTTACAGACCGCCGTCATATAGCTGTAATATTGCTGATTGCGGCGTTAAACAACAAACCAACCAAACAGAACCAACGTACGTCCTGGAATTTAACACTTCAATTAGAGTTATCTCCCTTACACTATAAGCTCGTATCACAACGTGCCTTTGATTATCAAACCCTGAGTGAATTTAAGGCAGCTGATATTTCTAGCAATGAGAGTTGACTGGAATCAGCTAGACTTTATTAACAGTGAAAAGGTATATGGACAGGCCTAGCAAAGAAACCAACAGAGAGCGACCAAACTGTGGAATATGTAAACACTTTAAATAGAAATAGGGGCGGTCGGGTAGCCTAGTGGTTAAAGCGTTCGCTCGTCACGCCAAAGACCCGGGTTCGATTCCAGACATGGGTACAATGTGTGAAGCCCATTTCTGGTGTCCCCCGCCGTGATATTGCTGGAATATTGCTAAAAGCGGCGTAAAACCATACTCACTCACTCACTCACTTAAATAGAAATAGCAACACAAATTGCGAACAAAGACACAACTCCCATAAAGTTTACATCGTTATGATAAGAACCCGGCACATTTTCAATGAAACCAAACACAGTAAATCACCATTCGTTGCGATCCGCGTATCCCAGGACACAATACCAAATGTCTGTCAGGGGATTCACTGTAGACTTATGCATTTACATAAAACAAAACAATGACGGGTTAACAAGTGTTTTATTGTTTTATAATGAATGTATAATGAGAAGAAAGTTCAAAATGAAATTAAGACGGTGAATTTTGACCAGTGTTATCACTTGAGAACTGATTGTCGTCGTACTTAGCTCGTACTTCCTACTGAGCCCCTGGGGTGCCGAACACTGGCTAGCAGCCTCCAAGTGACGTCATCGTTAAAGCCAATTAGTTTCATTTACTGATCCAATCATGAATACTAGCATTTAATGAATAAACTACCAATTGATAGTGCACATGTATTCTTATCTGCGTCAGGGAAATATAAGTTTGCATTGTTAATATAAATACTTCATTTCGGGTACTGCCCAACTTATGCTTGGTGATCCTGACACCCAGTTCATCATAATCATCAACACACTTAGTGTGTGTGTGCGGCTTCTTATGTAGGTAGCTATTTATATTTAATCTCGAACAGATATACTTTTTCACAGTGTGTACACCGTAATAGGCCACAACATTTGTATCAACCCCCGTAATCCGGACAATGTTGTCCCAAGTAAAACACATGTCCAGATAAACGGATCCTTGACATAGAGTTATGTCCCTTTGTATTCACGTTGACATCCCCACCAGTAATAACCTAGTCTTTCATACAGACTCTGAAACAAATATATCCAATACAGCCGAGCAAGTCTATAATGTTCGACAAGTCTAGATTACTGCAGCATCTGAAAATGAAGAAAGTCGCTGGGTTTCTTTTTATTATATTTCATAACTATAATTTAAAAACTGTTTTTTCTGTAAAATATGTTCATTTCAGAGACTAGATGTCACTCTAGTAATAACCCGAAAGGAGGATTTCCAGCCTAGTAGGGCTTTCACAGGACACGAGAATTTTAGAAAGGTACGTAGAGGGTCTTAAAAAATATTGTATTTAGCGAACCTTGGCATTCATTTTTTTTTATAAAGATACCAATTGTCCCAGTAGTTTCTCCAGATTCCCGATGGTTAATTCTGCCACGATCGCCAAATGACAAGGGCGACGCCATGTTTGTCTGTCAACACTAAAAGTAGTCCCTACTTGACCTTTGATATTTGCATCTCTACCCGCATATGACCCCAACGGAAATAGTTTTTATCCGTTGTCTTTATCCAAGACACCTACCCATTATATATATATATGAAAATCTTCGAACGGTGCCTTATCAAAAGTGCTTTAAACCCTAGCTCATTTTAATCAGTGATGTCCAACACCTGTCTAAGTTAGTTAAGTAAACTCTATGATTATACATAATGAAGTGGAAATTAACATGAATGAATAAATGAAACAACGACATAGAAACTTGATTGCCTTACGCTCACTTTTACTTTTACGACGTGGCCAACAAACGCGCTGTCCCGGAGATCTCACAAACTGAAACCACTTTTCTTGGTATTCGCTGTTGGTGTTGCCTCCTTGTGGGGATTATGTCTTCCTGCAAGCGATATGTTATTGATCACTGAGTTACTTTCATTTTCACACCTAAAGGTCATTGACTCCGTACACACGGTTATGACAGCGTGAACCAAGCGAAAACCAAGTCATAATTATATAAAGCTGCCACACTACACCTTTCTGGGGAATAGCTTTCACGTTGTACTTCCTGTGACCTGCATTTGAGTCATTATAAACCTTGTGCTAGGTGTGGTAAAAATGGCTACCACAAATCAAACACCAAACTTAATTAGAAACTAGTAAGACTTGAGGGGACATGGTGCAGAACAATGGATAACAAGGACAGCTTAGCCTCAAATTATAAATTTTCAATAGTTGTTAAAGTACATGAAAACATTTGAAGCGCTCGTAAAATACTCCCGAAAATGTGACTTTTGATTTGATATCCGACCTGCGAATCTGGAGATAAATTATGATTTTCCGCAGCATGCAACCTTCTCTGTTTCTATAATATCTTAAATGTTTCCAGGAAAAGAACAAGTAACCAGGGCCCACTTGCACAAAGCGATTTAAGAGCTTCAACTATTGTAAGCCTATGTTAAAGTATGGGAGTTATGATCATCTAAGCGCTAAGATCGCTTTGTGCAAGTGGGCCCAGGACTTGCTCGATAGCTGATTTGAAATCCGTCGTGTTTTAAACTAAACAAAACTAGCATTCCACACAGTGATACAAAATGACATAAACTGAATTAAGACAGTAAATATAAAGTACAAATACGTGATCAAATGTGCCTCGAGACAAACCCAAGAATGTGATATGGTCTATACCTACTTCCTGCATTGAAACGCTTGTTTATTGCTAAAATTATTTTAGTTCCATAAATTAAATATTTAGTTCCAAAACTCACATTATACTATACATTGCCGTGTAACACAAGCCATCTCTCAAATTTTGTTCGTTTTCGTTTGCACGGAAATTCCATGAATCAATTTACAGAGACACAGGAACACGCGCATATTTTCTTTGCTTCCGGGAAATCACAGGTGACAGTCAAGTCGCGGCCAGGTCTATATAAGCTAATGTAACTCACATATCTTAACTCTACCATCTTTCAAAACCACAACATGGGTGTACTCACTAAGGTAGGACAGTTGCATGTTTTGATGTGTCATATTGTATTTCCTCAATGAAGAGTGTGTGATTTAGTGAGTATGGCTTTAAGCCGCCTTTAGCAATATTCCAGCAAATTCACGGTGTGAAAGAGAAGAAACGAACCCGGGCCTTCGACGTGACGAGCCAACGGTTTAACCACAAGGCTATCCCACCGCCCCCTCAATTAAGAGCGCGGGTCGTTTAAAGTTTAGGCTACTACCGACCCTGCCGGTTCAGTAACCGTTTCATGTTGGGATCGGAGCTGTTCCTTTTCTACGTGGGGGTGACGTATAGGGGCGGCTAAGTTTAGTAAGCTTCATGGTATTCCAAACATACTGGGAAGAACTGGGATTTTGTAAAAGCAAAAAAATCATTGAAAAAAAGATTGGCCTTTTTTTAACCAACCCAGTTCCCGAAGAGACCCAACTCTTGTTTCAAAACCTTACCCCAAGACTTGGCCGGTAAGTACAGACTGGCCCTCACTGGAGGAAGTTCAATATCTGATATTACTATTATGTCTACTTGGGGAAAGGTATAGATAGTGGACAGGACGCTGATTGCTTATAACAAGGACAGTCATAACTATTAACCGTATTATCAAGGTACACTATACTATTACACGAGTTAACACACAGCGGAATCAAGCAGTGATTTTAGGAATGCGGTTTTACTTCTGCACTCATTTACCCCACTTGTTGCAACAGCATGAGACATGCGTGCTCTATAGGGGTTACTGTGCACTAGAACATTCAATAGTCGCTGCCGCCTAACATTATCAATGGGATTTCCCCCACGCAATATATGGAGAAAGGGGCGTGTCTATTTAATACTGCACAACAAGCTTCGCGATTTGGCTATATATAGAGTAGGGAAATCCCCTATCACGGTATATATATATGTTCGTGTGAGCGGGGCCAGGTAAACAGAAGCGTTGAACCGAGTCAGCAAGCATTAAACATGGCCAAGGGGAAAGAGATAGTTACAGAACACCAGACCACGATCTTCGTGAGTTTTACTGAACTAGCGGAAATAGACGTTCATCGTTTTTATATTTATATATTTCAAGTACAGTATATACATACGTATCCCAAATGATAACTAGAATTGGCTTTTCTTAACATTTCAAAGCGAGTCATTTTTTTGCCACAATATATTCTTCCTTTGTTCTTTTGGATATATTCTTCCGAAAATGGAGATATGGAGAAATACTATTTTCAAATTTAAAATTTTAGCGATAAATATTTCACCACTAAGGATTTTAAACGAACCATAGGAACTTGTTCTAGCCTAAACATGGATACCCTTTGTGTATATTGCATTGTGTTCCGTACTTACAGATGTATATTGTTACATGTGTTTAGCTTGTTGTGAGGTATCACCTTGTTTTGAACTGGATTTGTTTTTGTTTGTTTTATGATTTTGTCGCTTTTAATGAAAAAAGAACAAACTTGGTAGTTATATCTATTAATTTTCATTCGTTTGTATTTTAGAAAAATATGAGCAAGGACTGCAAACTAGAGAGGCCTCCCAATCGAGAAGGAAACATGGATCTTGATGTGGACCTAGGTAGCCTCAGCCTCAATGAGAGTGACATGGACACGTGTGAATCTGGGGTAGAGGTGGGCAGCGTGGGTCAAGTGGTCAACACATGTGTACGACTTGACAGTGTCAATACAAACACCTGCCCCAGGTTTGTTTCTACAGATGAAGGATATGAAAGCAAGTCAATATCTTTCACAGACAGAATGTCCATTCAGGAGACTGAGAACAACAGACTTGTGACATCCATGAGATCGGTTGATGTCTTTCAGGTGTATCATCAAGATAAAGATGGCGACACGGATCTACATACTGGAATCATTCAAGGACATACATCTCTGGTGTTGTTGTTTATATCGGCGGCGCCGAACTATGAGTGGTTGAACATTACAAATTTGCTTCAACAGACGCCCCTCCATCTCGCTGTTATTACTCGTCAGGTGAATATAGTCCGGCGACTGATGACGGCCGGAGCAAGGGTTGACGTTACAGATATCCATGGCAACACACCACTTCACATAGCATGTCGGGAGGAATACCAGGAGATCGTGGAGTGTCTTCTGAGACCTGTTTATTATGAGGAGACACTTCTGAACCAGTATGAGCTACCATACCAAAGGATACCCCAGGATTTGGAGAAAAGGAACTTCGATGGACATACGTGTCTTCACCTGGCCGCCATGTCAACATATCTCAAAGTTCTTGAACTACTTCTGTCTAAGAAAGCTAGCATCAATGTGCGTGACGGCACCAGCGGAAGGACAGTTCTCCATTACGCTGCTGAAACCGGAAACAGAATTCTTCTTCACTTCCTGTTGTCACAGCGCCATCTGGACATTTGCTGCAGGACATATGGGGGTCTGACGCCTCTTCGTCTTGCTGCAGGGAGGGGGTTCGGGGATGTCGTTTCCATCCTCCTCGCCAACGGTGCAGACGTCACAGAGATAGACGGTTCAGATCAGTCAGACGAAGAAGTATTTGATGACCTTTGTATCAATGGACACCCAGTTGCTTTGTAACCAACCTACAACTGTTAAGTCACATCATATGGAAGGTGCATATATACAATGTTTGATAAAGAACACCACTTGTCTGTTATCTGAAAAATGTTTTTATAATGACTTATAATCGAGACTGGTTATTCTCTGGCTTTAACGGGTTTTTTTTCTATTGTTTATACCTTGGTTACTTTACATGCTGGAGTCAATCGAGGAACTATATAAGGGATATTCAATGACGATTCCTAATGAAAAGATTACACCAGTTTCTTTGCATGTATCACATGTTGTGACTAAATCTCTATCTGCAAACTACCTCATTTCATCTGAAAATTTGTGCCAAACAGAAAATACTTGTGATTACTGTCAAAATGACTGACACCCACATCGGGTGATTTGGTTATTCTTCATGACAAATACTATGCTTGATAATGCGTGTGAATGGTTGTTTTTATGGTACACGCAATGGTCAGTCAATAATGGCATTGGTTGCTTTGTGTTGGTATATGTTTGTATAATCTTAATAAATCGCAAAAGTAACTACGATGATGTTCTTATCTAGAGATATTTCATTTTTTTGTGAAGTGACCTAAAGATGCTTTCCAGGTTTTGTATTATTTATACAAGTTGTAGGGAATTTCTTGGGATTTTTATATTCATTTCAGCTATTTGGAAGGACAGAAGAAGTTATATTTTCCTTTTGATCAATCTGTAAAACCACATGGTCCCTATTAACATAAATATGGTTAGTTTAAGATTATTATTAAAGTTATTACATCACTGTTTCTTTTGCTTTTGAAAATTTATTTTATTTATGTGATATTTTTCTTTGCCACTATTTATTGATAGTACCTTATTATTTGACTTTATGTGTGTTACATCACGTGTCTTGTGATGAGAAAGGTCACACCAGGACATTATTTTGTTAATGCTTAATATGTTTGTGAATGTTATTATGTGAACTGAGTTTCATGGTTGTTGTTGGATATGCTTTTACTTTTGTGAATATTTAAACAATGTTTGTATGGTTCAGATAATATGGATGTAGTTAATGTTTACATAATGTTTACACGCTAATAAACATATACATCTTGACGAAAAGGTATAGTTGTGTTTGTGCGTGAGTCTGGTGATGAGAAGTAATTTAATCCCGGTTTCTACAAGAAAACCGTTGCCAGATAACAGCTGGGATTTCAACATTTGAGCATATGAGGAGTGGGTCCACGTCGCCAGGGCCCAAAGACGTGCAATCAACGAAGTCACCGAACCTGATCACCCGACCCATTGAGTCTACTCTTACAAGTATCAGGTTAATATAGACCTATACTGACCCGGAATCCCCTGGGGATCTGTCATGTAAACATACTAAGATCAGAGTGTGATTTTTCAATAAAACTAACGTAAGCTTTACATATAAACAAGTTACATAGGTACAAACACTGGCAGATCTAGGAGTCTTTGGTTATACACTCACATGCTTGGTATTATTTATAACCAGCCGTGCGGATCTACACGATCTGGAGGAGTGTGCAGGCGACGTTATAATCTGATCCGGCATACGTGCTTCACATACAGCAGTGTCTTTTGTGCATGAAATGAAAAATACTAATGGGGAGAAACTAATGTCGTTTACATCAATAACATGACTATACACCACTAAAAGAACGTTAAGCACTGCCCTGATTCTCTGTGTGTTTGAGTTGTGTACAGCATGGCACCAGGGCCCACTTGCACAAAGCGATCTTAACTCCCATACTTTAACATAGGCCTACAATAGTCTTAGTGCTAAGATTGCTTTGTGCATTATGGGCCCTGGACCTGATATTCAATTATTTCCTCTACAGGGCCCCGTTCCCCAAAGCAATCGTAGCGCTACGACTGACGTAAGTCAATGTTAAAGTATTGGAGTTACGATCGTCTTAGCGCTACAATGGCTTTGTTGAACGGGGCCAATAAAATTATGGTGAATGTTAGGTGACGTCGTAATTGGAATACATCTTAATTGAGGTTGGTACTCTCAGAGTTACCACGTAATAACAGACGTTCGATTCACTCATGGAATTTGACTGGAATTTTCAGGCAAGTATTCAACATTTCCAGAATATATATGACAGGCTACCGGAAATACGTTTGTGAAAAAATTTTGATTCACATAAGAGGTTGAGGTGAACAGGGGATTAACATCGCGTTTACCCGCGTGTGTGCGTGTGTGTGTGTGCGTATGTGAATGCGTGTATTTGTGTGTATGTGTGTTTAAGTGTGTAAGTATTTGTGTGTGTGGTGTGTGTGTGTTTGGTGTATGTGTTGCTGTGTGTATTGTATATATGTTTGTGTGTGTGGTGTGGGTATGTTAAGTGTATGTGTGTTTGAGTGTGTGTGTGAGAGAGAGTGTTTGTTTGTGTGTGGTGTATGCTGTTTGTGTTTGTTTGTGTGTATGTATGTATGTTATACATATGTATGTATGTATGTGTGTGTGCGTGCGTGCGTGCGTGCGTGCGTGTGTGTGTGTGTGTGTGTGTGTGTGTGTGTGTGTGTGTGTGTGTGTGTGTGCGTGCGTGCGTGCAGGGAGGGAGTATATATCTGCACCGCTTTTTGCAATATTTCAGTAATATCACGTCGTGTACACCAGAAATTATCTTCAACCATTCTACCCACGAGTTGAATTGCACCCAGGGCTTGAATTTAACCTCTCAGCTACCCCACGCTCCTCCAGCCCCATCGTTTTGTTGTTAGATGCTGTACTAAGCAATATCCAGCTAAACGACTGCGGCTTGTAAATGATCGAGTATAGGTTAGATAATCTTGTGAGTGATATTGAGAGCAACAATCCACGCAGTCGGATACGATGACACACTATCAACCCAATCTCCGAACCTGACCACTGATCCGGGGCGGTCGGGTAGCCTGGTGTTTTAAGCGTTCGCTCGTCACGCCGAAGACCCGGGTTCGATTCCCGACATGGGTACAATGTGTGAAGCCCATTTCTGGTGTCCCCCGCCGTGATATTGCGTGAATATTGCTAAAAGCGGCGAAAAACCATACTCACTCACTGACCACCGATCAATCTGTTCGCCTCTGACGATCAACATGGTGAGGACCTATTCTAACTCGGAATCCACACGGGACCCCCTCCGGAAATGAGCATCTTGTTCATAGGGACACGTGTTGGTATGTTCATATATTGGATACATACACACAATGATACATTGTAACAAATTGCTATGGATTTCAGTGTCTTCATTGTAGTACAGGACGCTTAAAGGATACATCGTGGGAACGATCTTGAATGAAGGGAAACCAATTATGTTGTTTGTGGCTGATTAATTATGATTGCCGTCGCTCTTTGATGATCTCTCTGACAGTGTTGATACACTTGATAGGCTGCGTGATTGTATACTTTGTGGCAAGCTGTTGTGAAACTCAACAGGACGTATTTCCAATTGCGGCCATGATCTCTTTCTCATCACTACAATACAAGGAACATTTCACTGACACAGTTTTGGGTTAGTACTTGTGTTATTTGCAACATTATAGGATTGGAAGCATGTCACGTGGACTTACCGGGCCTTCTCTTGACATGTTATCACAGACAAGCAATGTAAAATATAATTCAGTACATAGACATATAATAAAGACATGTATAATATATAGACGTTTACAATAAATAGACGTATACAATATACAGACAAGTACAATATATAAATTAGACATGTAAAATATAGACGTTTACAATATATAGAAATGTACAAAATATAGATATTTACAATATATAGACGTTAACAATATATAGACGTTTACAATGTATAGACGTATACAATACATAGACATGTACAATATATAGTTTAGACATGTACAATATATAGACGTTTACAATATAAAGACATGTACAATATGTAGATTTGACATGTCCAACATATAGACGTATACAACATATAGACGTATACAATATATAGCCGTATACAATACATAGACGTATACAATATCTAATTTGTGTACAGTTAATTACATTTAACGCAGTTTACACACGAATAAGATTTGGTTAAAATGTAATTGTACATTGATATGATTTTGAAAATCAAATTCGCGTGGTTTCCATGACAAACTAACGGGATTTGACTATTCTACAATTTGACACATGGGAATGACATGGCGACTTGAATTACTAAGAAATAGGAAACCTAATTATCATTTTCCATAACAAAGACCAAAATAAATTTTAAAAGAAGGAACGTCATGCCCAGAGCCAAACGAAAACATTTGCAAAATTGTTACATGTAGACCACGGTAATAAGAGGAAAGCTATATAAAATGTTTATTAACTTATTATTGCTAATGGAGTACAGTTTAATGCATATGCAGATACTTTGGTCACCTTAAATTTACATTATTTCTGCTCGCAACAATATGCCACGACAGTCATGCGTTGATAAGACATACGACGTGTGAATACCTGGGGTAAGAAAGAGGTTTCGGAAACCGTTATTTATATGAATATATCGCAGTGAATCTGATAATGATGATTCTAATTCATATTATTAAAAAAACCAATTCAATTCTGATACCAGTAAAAATTCAACTCATATGATGATTCATAATCTGGTACGCATTTATACATAATGTTTCAAAGTAAAGGGTGTGAGGTTTCTCCATGCGAACGTGTGGGCCCACGCTAGATTTACAAATGTTGTTAGGTGCAGTTATAGCCAGAACCGTGTGAATGCGTATTCCTATAATCAGTCATTACGTTTGTTTGTTTGTTATAACGCCACACTCAGCAATATTCCAGCTATGTGACGGCGGTCTGTATATAATCGAGTCTGTAAGTCAATCCAGTGATTGACATCATAAGCATCGATCTATATAACCGGGATACTATGGCATGCATCAACCAAGTCAGTGAACCTGGACCTCCGATCCCGTTAGTCGCCTCTTACGACAAACACGGGTTGGTGAAGATCTAAACCGGAAATGCACGAGATGTGTACTAACGATTCAAGGAAATGATGAATAAGCAACGGCCCACCTATGTATATCAGCATGATCACGTTTATCGTTTATATACGCATGTCCTTGATATAAGCCCATGTCACATCATGAAATGACCTTCGATTGATGCTCCTGATTGAATTTGTGGGATTGTCCAGAGATCTAATTTTAGTATTTGAATTCTATGTATAAATTACCACCACATTAACCGTTGTCATCATGTTACCAAGTAGAACGTGAGAGAAGTGACTATGATAATCAACACACATGTAAGTTGGCATGTTTTAAGTTGTGCTCACTGATTTATGTCATATCAGGGACGGTCGGGTAGCCTAGTGGTTAAAGCGTTCGCTCGTCACGCCGAAGACCCAGGTTCGATTCCCGACATGGGTACAATGTGTGAAGCCCATTTCTGGTGTCCCCCGCCGTGATATTGCTGGAATATTGCTAAAAGCGGCGTAAAACCATACTCACTCACTCACTCACTCACTCACTCACTCATATCAGTTTGTTCATGGCCTGATACATGTTGTTCATACGTTGGTTTGTTCTCTTGTTAAAATTTTTAATAATTACTATTGCACTATCAAATAACATCAGTTTCGCTTTAATTCAATGTAACTCCTCTCGTGTTTCAAAGGATAATATGTCCAAGGAAAAGTTACAGGGAAGTGAAAACATTATGTATGGAAAAAGTTTCTCTATGATCTACTGCCGTTACAATATATAATTTCACGGCCTCTTTGAAATATCACCAAAACTATTTGTTATGTCGATGTTCTTTTTAGAGTTTTCTATATGTGTAAAGTTATATATTTTAAGACTTCATGCTTATGTTAGGCCGTGTTCATTCTAGCTATGCGGTAGCGGCCACCTGTGCCTTCCTAACTTACAGGTTTGAAAATCAGTGGTAATCTCTGTTGAACCAGTCTTCAACCTAGAAAGTCTTTTTTTGGTTTTGTATCTTTTGCTTGTTTTTTTTCTTTTCAGAATTTTTCACAAAATATGAGCAAGGACAGTAAGTTAGAGAGGCCTCCCGGTCGAGGCGGAAACGTGGATCTTAATGTGGACTTTCGTAGCCTCAGCCTCAATGAGAGTGACATGGACACGTGTGAATCTGGGGTAGAGGTGGGCAGCGTGGGTCAAGTGGTCAACATATGTGTACGACTTGACAATGTCAATACAAACACCTGCCCCAGGTTTGTTTCTACAGATGAAGGATATGAAAGCAAGTCAATATCTTTTACAGACAGAATCTCCATTCAGGAGACTGAGAACAACAGACTTGTGACATCCATGAGATCGGTTGATGTCTTTCAGGTGTATCATCAAGATAAAGATGGCGACACGGATCTACATACTGGAATCATTCAAGGACATACATCTCTGGTGTTGTTGTTTATATCGGCGGCGCCGAACTGTGAGTGGTTGAACATTACAAATTTGCTTCAACAGGCGCCCCTCCATCTCGCTGTTATTACTCGTCAGGTGAATATAGTCCGGCGACTGATGACGGCCGGAGCAAGGGTTGACGTTACAGATATCCATGGCAACACACCACTTCACATAGCATGTCGGGAGGAATACCAGGAGATCGTGGAGTGTCTTCTGAGACCTGTGTATTATGAGGAGACACTTCTGAACCAGTATGATCTTCCATACCAAAGGATACCCCAGGATTTGGAGAAAAGGAACTTCGATGGACACACATGTCTTCACCTGGCCGCCATGTCGACACATCTCAAAGTTCTTGAACTACTTCTGTCTAAGAAAGCTAGCATCAATATGCGTGACGGCGGAAGCGGTAGGACAGTTCTCCATTACGCTGCTGAAACCGGAAACAGAATTCTTCTTCACTTCCTGTTGTCACAGCGCCATCTGGACATTTGCTGCAGGACATATGGGGGTCTGACTCCTCTTCGTCTTGCTGCAGGGAGAGGGTTCGGGGATGTCGTTTCCATCCTCCTCGCCAACGGTGCAGACGTCACAGACATAGACGGTTCAGATCAGTCGGAAGAAGAAGAGTATTGTTCAGTGGTTCTGCTTAAGTTTGCGGAAGGAAATCTCAATATGATGAAACCTGTATGATAACCTTGATCAACAACGCTTGTATCATGTGTTAGTAATGTACATTCCTGCTTGATATGAAGCTAATTACAAACAGAGTGGTGAGCGCACTGCTTGATGCATGTATGACTGGTGCACGTGTCTAAATATTACATCAGCTCTTCATACTTATTCCAACATGCATTTACTGTTAAATAAAAAGTATGTTCACAAACATTGTTGATGTCAAGTCTTCTATGACGAGTTTACGTCTTGTATGTCTGTATGTAATGAAGGGTATGTTCAGAGTAGAAAGGTTAGTGACTCAAGAAGGCAAGATGTTTGTAAGGTCAATAAAGACTATCTTGTTCTTTATTCAGCCAGAAACATCACTATTTACAGAAGAAGTCTTATCTTTGAAACACGTCTGTAATGTTAGTGTAAGAATGAGTGAGTATAGTTTTACGACGCTTTTAGAAATATTCTAGCAATATCACGATGGGGGACACCAGAGAAGGGCTTTAAACATTGTACCCATATGGGATTCGAACTCGGGCCTTCGGTGTAACGCTTTAACTACTAGGCTACCCCACTGCCCCATAAGTGTAAGAGAGAAAGGCGTGAATGATGTTGATGATGCAGCGAATACTTTTCCAGCCATATTTGACGGCGGCCTGTAAATAATCGTGTCTGGACCAGACGAACCAGCGACTGAAGACACATTGTTCCCACCCATCGGGGCAGGGTGACACCCAGTTACCCCGGTAACCGACCTTGATCACCCGATCAATTTCAGTCTACTCTTACTACAAGTATATGTTTCTGGGGACAATCCCGGTTCGCCCCGATTATGTTTCTAGGTTTGTCAGCACCATACCCGTGCTCGTGGGTTTTACCGAAGTACTAAAAGTCTGAGACCTGCATTACTTCGGGCTTTCCTCCCACATTAAGCTGACACGCCGCGATATAACTGGAATACTGTTAAAAGCGGCGTAAAACCCAACTCACTCACTCACTCACTACTGGGGACAAATCTGATCCCGAAAGAAGCATTTACCAGTCTCCCTGCTTAGCGTGCTAAGTACATCTCTAACACATATATATAACAACAACCATTACATGTTCAATAATACACAGTCGTCGATTTTCAAGACATCTTTTGCTTGTTTGTTTGTTTGTTTTACGCCGCACTCAGCAATATTCAAGCCGTATGACACATGGTCTGTAAATAATCGAATCCGGACCAGATAATCCTGTGATTCCCATCATGAGCATCGATCCACGCAATTGGATACGATGACATGCACCAACCAAGTCATCGGGACTGACCACCCGACCCCGTTTATAGGCGCCTCTTACGACAAGCATGGGTTGCTGAAGACCTGATCCTATCCGGATCTTCACGTGTATCATGACTCATCAAGTCATCTTTCAGATCACGGGATATAATGACAAATACGTTCTAGAATATCCCACCATTTGTATCTTATCTCTCACTCCTTTTCTTAATTGTATATAGCAATATATTTTATAAAACATTCTGCCACATGAAACATACTGTTCTACTTAAAAGATTCACATATATCACGCAACGCACTGTATTGCTACAAGAGTGTTGTTTTTTTAATGAATATAAAGTAATAATCTTAACATGTAAATGAGTACATCAAGCGTCGTGATGACTGGCACATCTCAGAGTCTAGGATATACATGGATAGACGCATGCGATATTTGACTTGTAATTTCCAACAGCATCACAGGCTGAGATACGGATCTTGAGGAGTGTTCCCGCGACGTGTACACTCTGCTTTACATACAGTATTGTTGTACAGAAAACTACGTTAATAACGAACACGCTTATAACGATCTGTTTTTTTGGTCCCGGCCATTTGCTGTATATATGCTTATATAGAACTACGGTTATAACGAACTAAAATGTGCGGTCCCTTTGCGTTCGTTATAACCGTAGTTTACTGTATATTGTCTGGAGTGACAGTGTGTTTTGCTCGTGTTTTACTCGTGTTTTACTCGTATTTTACTCTGAATGTGTATGAAATGGAGCCGTACTGAGTAATCGTTTACATTAGTGACACGAATATCTGTGTTGTATGTGAGATGTCAACAGTTACAATATGATCAATAGTTATGTCTTCCTGTGTTTATTTTGAGGCCAAGTCGCATTATAGTAAAGCTCCTTATAACGTCAGCTACAGTGATATACTATCAAACACTATACTTCGTATATTCAAAACAAACCCCAATGAAAGTAAGTAGCACATAAGGGTGATATCCCACGAATTGCACTGCTGGTACTTATGGTGACATAAAAAAGCCAAAAATCATTTCTATAATCGCAGTAATATAAAAGCGACGAACCCCTTTCCATATTAAAATTATATAACGTCAACACCAAATTATAACCAGTCTCGCTTATCCCACGAAACAGATTCCATTTGGCGTAATATGGCGTTAAGAAATCTCTGCTAAAATCTCTTGTACGATTCCAGCTGTCATGAGCATGTGTTTATGAATCACTATCAATTAGTGCAGGTAACGGGAACATACGAAATCCAGTGTACGATGTTAGGTGACGACGTAATTTGGAATACATCTTTATCGCCTCAGTATCTTTAAGGTCATCGTAACTACTGTCGTACACTTCAATAATACGAATATACAGCGAAGCATCTAAAGCTGATATCTAATGATTTGATTTGCAGATGCTTATGGCGAAATTTTGAACATATGTATATCCTTTCGTCAGCTTCAAGGATAAACCCTCCTAAACGGCACGACTAGGAATACAGGACGCTGAGACCGAATGTAATTTTCAGGAAAATTTCAACGTTACTCAACATTTTCAGACTTTATTTGACAGGCTACGGAAAGTTATTTTGGTGTGAATGATAACTACCTAATATGCGTATCAGACGTTAGAAATTGTATTTCCCTAGCCGTATTTATACCACATTACGCCCCCAGTTCCCAGTTCTTTAAGAACAAAACATTGCTTCTGTCGGACAGAGTGTTTCGTCATATGTGGTTCAAAACAAATATTTTGTTATGATACTACACGAGTAAAGAATTTGAAACAATGCTAATGTTATAACACTGAGATAATATTTCAAACTTCAACGCATTGCATTATTATTGGACCCGTGAGATCCGGTGTCGAATAGGTCCTCATCAACCCATGCTTGTCGTAAAAGGCGACTATGCTTGTCGTAAGAGGCGACTACCGGGATCGGGTGGTCAGGCTCGCTGACTTGGTTGATGCATGTCATCGATCCCAATTGCGTGGATCGATGCTCATGGTGTCAATCACTGGATTGTCTGGTCCAGACCGCCGTCATATAGCTGGAATATTGCTGAGTGCGGCGTTAATCAAACAAAACAACATTATTATTGAATGTCATGATTCGTAACTTTAACGACCAGTGGTAAAATTGTAATACTCATAATGGTATTCATCTTCAAGTCCATGATTATTATCATCACTTGGGGGCAGAATCACTCATGAAATGGTAGACTCTTCATTTTCCAGTCACAAACTGTAGACCTGTTAATTACAGGGCTACATGTTAACAGTAGGCCCTTACAATGTCCTGGCAAATGTAGACACGGGATGCCCTTTTGCACCACCCGACCTACGTTACTGTCAGACTAAGAGAGGATACAGAGTCGGCAATCTGAATGACCGACTTATACTTTTCTTATACGAGATATTTTTATATCCGTCTATCATTCTTCTTAATATTATTATGCGTTAAGATGAGGAGAATGTGTGTTGCCGTAGAGTCCTTGACGGCCATTCATTCAAATCCTATATACCTATTACTTATCTACGATAAATGGTTACCCCCGCGTCTGTCCTGTTCGTTTCTTGCTAATCCCCTGTGCAGATTTCGGGGAAGAATAGGACCTAAGGACATACCGAATGTCACGTGACCGAGTTATTAGGGCAGCAGGTGTTTACAATGTGTCTTTCGCTCGTCAGATACCAGAGGGAGTGAGTGAGTTGGGTTTAACGCCGCTTTTAACAGTATCCCAGTTATATCGCGGCGTGTCAGCTTAATGTGGGAGGAAAGCCCGTGATGCAGGTCTTAGGGGTTTACCACTTCGGTGAAACCCACGAGCACGGGTATGGTGCTGACAAACCTAGAAACATAATCAGGGCGACCCGGGATTCAAACCCAATACCATAGTTTTCTGGCATGCCCAAGGCACGCAACTCTGCACAGCGAATTGCGGCACCTTAGACGACTGGGCCACCCGTGCCCCCTCATATACCGTAACTATTCACTCGTTTCATAAAACTGGTGTTACACGGGAGATCGTTTTGTACTCTACATTTACTCGTCGACTACCGCTTTAGAGCAATAGGTGCTAATTGCAATTACAAGCCCTGGGTGAGTTGAAAATGATGAATGGGAAATAGACGAAAATGATAAAAAAAGCGAGCATATACTCCGAAAAGTTGACATCCTCATTTTAAAAGTTGAGATCCGTAAATTCTCAACCTTATGTGTATCACTTCAAAATGTCATTCAAAGGCTTGAAAATGATACTCTAAGAAAGCATCGTATCATGAATCGATGCACATGACATTCGGTTATACACGATTCGTGTTCCGTGATATTTATTAACACTATGTAACACAATAAAATATTCCTGCATAAACATGAACATAGTTTTTATTAAAATACAACAGCAACATTCCATACAACACAATCTTGTCACATGAAATGCACATTTCACTTGGGTTCAATACATGTGACGCGGCATCAGTCGAAAACACGTTAATGAGGCGACGTTCCAAATCACAGAAGTGCCTTTTTCTTTGGTGATTAGCGTCTTCTGTTTCTTTTATATATCACATAAATCACGGTCACTCACTCTCTGCCACTCATACACAATCTCTACATACAATCACTCCCCATTCGAGTGAATTCATTCACTATATTTCGTAACATGGTTCACATTTTCACACAGCCTAGTGTTTTAATCCCTGAAGAAGACAGCCGAATAACAGCAAGCAGCATAGAAGATTTATAGTGCTATCACAAAGCTCGATTTCGTGGTAACTCTAAGGCCTCAATACATTCCGCATAAATCGGATTTACAAACGCTTGCCAACACAGTATTCCCCTTTGTTAAAGAACGGTCATATTCATAATTCCGGAGAATTT